TTCTTGTTTCTGGAAGATATTAGGGGATTTTATAACTTCTACCAAAAAACTACCTATTTTGCAGGTAAAGAAAAAATCTCGAATCAGCATTTTAAGCATATGGTGATCTCAGCCAATCGCCTAAATACCAGTCCTTTGCAATTCGAGTTCATGATTTACAATTTAGGCAAGAACTAGACATGCAAGTGAGAGCCGATATTCTTAGGGCAAGGAGATAAGTTAACACCTTGCCCTTCACTTTTCCGTTTTGAAGACTAATTAGGGAAGGGTACTTGGTCAATCCAAGTTTTCTAGATGGTCTGTATATGACTGGTAGGTTCGCAACAGAGGCCTTATCCGCCTCAGCTAATATCTGCGGAGCGGGAGAGACCAGACATGTTCCTAGCGAGTAATCACTGAGTGGGTCCCGTGCAGGAGGAATTCGCGAAAAATACGATCTCTCGCTCATCTTTGGTTCCAACTAATTTGGAGATTAGCTTACCAATGTAGAAAATAATAATGCAGCCGGAGCTCAGGTTGAAACCTTTGAACGTACTTAGAGGATAGGAATGCTGCTGCGCATGATCGACTACTCTTTAGATGCTCTTGGGTTCAACCATACAAAGAATGGAACTAAACATAGCATAGAATAGCATCATATCAGAAAGGAAGAAATGTCACGCGATTTCTAGCACCTGAGTATAAGCGTATGCTTTTATTAAACGTCTTCAATTGCTCTACTGAGATTTGGCGTTCTCACAAAAAAAATTTTTCGATCATCTACAAGCAACATTTATATTGAATTACCAGAGACTTTTCTGGAGTCTTCATAATTTTAATTTCATCCTTTTCGTCAGACTTTACTACTTTTAGCGCAATTTTTTCGGCTTCTGCTTTCTCCGGTGAGTTTTCTGTTTTCTGGCCAGTCTTTTCTGCGCTTCCTAACTTCTGAATGCTCTTCTCTGGCGTCTTTGCTATTTTCCTTTCCCAAAATGAGGTAATCATGTGTGCAAAGCGGTTAGGAGTAACATTTTCTGGAGATTTCTCTTTGTTAGTTCCACTCACGCTGTCCGTAGCTTGGCCAGTCTTTTCGCCACTCCCCGCTTTTTGGCCATGCTTTTCAAGAGATTCTGGCTTTTCCGTGCTTTTGTCAGTCGTGCTGTCTTTACTTTCTTCCTTTTGAGCTATTTTTTCCAGATTTTTCACTACTTTGTTTTCCCAAAAGGAAGAAACCATGTGTTTGAAATGACTAGGAGAAGTCTTTTCCGATGCTTTTTCTGTACTTGTAGTTGTTGTGCTTGTAGTATCCTGACTAGTCTTTTCCGGAGAGTCTGCCTTAGCCTTGTCAGATGTTTTCCCTTTTTTCTTGTCCCAAAAATTAAACATACTTGGGTAATGGGTTTTGCTCTTCTCAGTTGTTCGCTCAACTTTTTCGGCGCTCTTTTCGGATCGCTTCTTTCGAGCCTTATCTTTCGCCATCTAGCAACGTTATCACCTTCAGAATCTGAGTACTGCAAAGGACAGAGCGATCATACATGGAAAAGAGTACAAAATAGCTGACTGCTTACTGCGAGTAATTAGAGTGAGAATGAGTCACCCATTCATTTTTGGTTAGCTTTATAGTGACCGTTCATTTGATTAAGTGTGATGATACTATCATTTACTTAGAAGAAATTAGATTTTTTCGAAGTGCCCATTTGAAATGAGATGCGTACAAATACATAGTTGCGCCTGGAAGGCTGATTCGTATTTTGGATTTCATGTTTACATTCTTCTCTAGAAGTCAATATGACAATCTTTCCGGCTAGAAGAGCGTACGCGACTTGTCGGTTCATGCTTAGAAACGTAGTATCTGTTACGAACTAACATTCAAAAAATCAGAGGAGTTGCCATTTTGACTATTCTTATATTGAGTTTGGAATTGAAATATCGCACAAGATTCAAAAAGAGGGAATCGTTTTTGGACTTTTTCATTGCGAAATGGAGCGACAACTTAGCTGAATGACGGTGAGGATTTTTTCTTTGATGTTGTTCACCAATTATTATTGCGTTAATCAACATTGCACAGATGGCCATGATTTAACGTCGCGTAGATGCACTGAGCTCTATCGTTCAAAATAATAAAACATTCAATTTTCATTCATATAAATAAACAGTGCAAATCAATTTCTATATTTCTCCTCAATTACACAATATGCACATATGTCACGTCATCGCCTTACTTACTTCGGAGAGGCTCGCACTGGTATTTCCACGTAGATTAGATTTTCAAATGTAACACTCTAAAGAAGTACTGTTACCGCATTTAAAAAGCATCGCATGTGATCAGCTGAGTACTAAAATTTTGATTTTATCTCCTGTGCCATCTTGAAGGATGAAGAGGCCACTATTCGACTGTTGAGCCCGTCCATAGCAACACGTAAACAATCAAACTTGCACGTTTTCACAACAGTATGCTCAAGTTTACTCAATATTCTTTAGTCAATAATGATAAGAACTAAAGGAAAAACACACACATATACATATACATACACATAACACATACACATACACTAGA